TGCACCAGCTCTGGGGAAGGGAGGGAACTGGATCTATCTTAATACCTCTCTTTTCCCACATTACAAATTGGTGCTATATGCTGCTGCTCCTATAGGGCTGGACCTATCCAAGATACATTGTACATATCAGGAATGCATTTGCTCTAGAAGCTTCCCCTCTTTAGCTACTAGAAGCCAGTGCTGGCCATAGTGAGCAGCCCAGGAGCCAAACAGGTTGTCTGTCTGTCTGTCTGTCTGTCTGTCTGTCTGTCTCTCTGTCTCTCTCTCTCTCTCTCTCTCTCTCTCTCTCTCTCTCTCTCTCTCTCTCTCTCTCTGTCTCTCTCTCTCTCTCTCTCTCTCCTCTCCTCTCCTCTCCTCTCCTCTCCTCTCCTCTCCTCTCCTCTTTCTCCTCTCCTCTCTCTCCCCTCTCTCCCCTCTCTCCCCTCTCCCCCCTCTCCCCCCCTCTCTCCCCCCTCTCTCCCCCCTCTCTCCCCTCTCTCCCCTCTCTCCCCTCTCTCTCCTCTCTCCCCTCTCTCTCCTCTCTCCCCCCTCTCCCCCCTCTCTCCCCTCTCTCCCCTCTCTCCCCTCTCTCCCCTCTCTCCCCTCTCCTCTCTCCCCTCTCTCCCCTCTCTCCTCTCTCTCCCCTCTCTCCCCTCTCTCCGTGTGTGTGTGTGTGTGTGTGTGTGTGTGTGTGTGTGTGTGTGTGTTGAGATATAGCAAGATTCACACCAAATCCTCATATTGATTTAAGGCTTACATGGCCAGTTAATACATATGCTTAGGAGTATTCTGCAAGTGCATCAAAGAATAGGGAGGCAAACAATGCACCAAGTTCTGCACCAGACAGAAAGAATCAAGGAAACTCAGCACTCTGCCTGCCGGACCCCACCCAGGAATTAATAACCCCAAAGAAGGCTGCAGAAATAAGTTGCTACCCCTAGATTAGACCTACCTAATGGCCAAGTATCAGCCCCAAAGGCCAAGCACTCTGTGCTCTTAGTCTCCACAGTAGTCTGCAGATAATTGGGTTTATGACTCATTACAGTGGTCAGGGTCAGTAACCACCATGCCCTCCACTCCCTACCTAAATGCCACAGCTTATCCAAGGAGCTGTATGTCTTATGCTCCCTACCACTCCCAAAAACATGCATTCAGTGTTTATTTCTCCACTCACCAGAGCCTTGGAGGCCAGAGGTAATATTGGGGATTCACCACATAGAGTGAACTATCCATTTGCCTGACACCTTGTTCTTGGGTCCTTCTGGAAGGCAGGTTGATAGCATGTAACCCAAAGCCTCTACTGTAGTCACACAGCTAGCATAGACTGCACATAGCAGAACAGTCCAAAGCCTTGTTACTTCTTGTACTAGAGACAAAAGGCCAAACTCTCCTTTGGGCAAGGTTAATCCTTTGCTATACATTATGCAAAAGAAATGAAAACATAAATAAAAACTTCTACATAAATTTTCATAGCATTATTTTATAATAGCAATAAATAAATGTTTGGCTCCAAAACCTGGCTGGGCTTTTCTCTTTTAGCCCCAAAGTGTACAGACCTCCAATTACAAATACCACAGAATAACCTTTTCTAAAACTAGATGGTTTTATGGCCGAGTTTGCTAAGAAACATTCTTTACTATCATCCATGTATTTGTCTTTTTGTATAATTTATTTCTCTACATTCTATAAATTTGTGCTGAGAGACATCTGTTGCTAAAATATGCCTTTTACTGTTTGGTTTTTAAGTATCTGTATAGTTTTTTAGTCAAGCGATAATAAAAAAATACTCAGATAAAAATGCATCATGCCGGGCAGTGGTGGCGCGCGCCTTTAATCCCAGCACTCGGGAGGCAGAGGCAGGCAGATCTTCGTGAGTTCGAGGCCAGCCTGGTCTCCAAAGCGAGTTCCAGAAACGGCGCAAAACTACACAGAGAAACCCTGTCTCAAAAAAAACAAAAAAAAAATGCATCTTGAGCTTACCATCATCCTCATTTTCATGAGGTTTGTCAAATATGTGGAAATTTTAAGGATACATATTTCCATGTAATATAACCAAATTTTCCAAAAGAACTATCCAGAGCTAAGGAGGGATGTTTTTGTAAGAATGTGAGCTTTTAGCCAGGCGGTGGTGGCGCACGCCTTTAATCCCAGCACTCAGGAGGCAGAGCCAGGCGGATCTCTGTGAGTTCGAGGCCAGCCTGGTCTCCAAAGCGAGTTCCAGGAAAGGCGCAAAGCTACACTGAGAAACCCTGTCTCGAAAAACCAAAAAAAAAAAAAAAAAAAAAAAAAAGAATGTGAGCTTTTTTCAGTGAAAGAATCTAGTATGTGGCTAAGTTACCACTTAATTGGAAAGGGACATGTCTAAATCAGGTACTTTTTAGAAGTTTAATTAATAGTAAATGTGAGGCTGGGTTAGATGATATTAGAATTATGTCCCATTCCCAAAATTCTTTTATCCCATTGAATTTAAGTGTAAACCTCCTGCCAGCAGTTGGTGGTACACACCTTAATCCCAGCACTTGGGAGGCAGAGGCAGACAATCTTCATGAGTTTAAGTCCAGCCTGGTCTACATAGTGAGTTCCAGGACAGCCAGGGCTGTTAACACAAGAAAACCTGTCTCCAAAAATAGCTTTAATGGTTGACAGTATTATGTTAGGAGAAGAGGATTGAATATTCAAGAGAAATGAAATAATTATACAACAAATAATAAAAGACATTCTTCAGCAACTATCAATATGGTGTTAAAAACAGATTGTCTCTCAGATCAAAGTTATAGAACATAGAAATATAGACTGCACCAAATAAAAAATGCATAGATGATAATTAGGAATATCTCTTAGCAAACTGTCATAAAACCATCTAGTTTTAGAAAAGATCATTCTGGGAGCTGAAGAAATGGCTCAGCAGTTAAAAGCATTTGTAGTTCTTGTAGAGGACCCAGGTTCAATTCCCATCATCCACCATAGGGCTGCTCACAACTCCGTAACTCCAGTTCCAGGTGATCTGACACCTCTTCTGACTTCCATGAGAACTGCATACACATAGTAAACATACATACACATTCACATAAAACAAATATTTTTTAAAGTCATGTGATATTATAACTGAAGGTTTGTACATTTTGGTAGTAAAAAGGAAAAGCCAACTATTAGAAAATAATGCTGCTGTTATTTTGTTCTCATTTCTGTTGGGTATCTTGAATTTCTAAGAAGACTGTCATGTATTGTGTTCTTTCTCTTAATTTATATCCAAGCTTATTCTCTGTTTAATTATCAAGACTTCAACGCATGTATAGTAAGCATAGTGGCCTCCAAATTCAGACTTCCAAAAGAATTAGCACTTGCTTTAACTATGAAAAATCCTACTATTTTCTTCTTTTAAAAAATATTTACTCTTGCCAGGCTGTGGTGGCACATGCCTTTAATCCCAGCACTCAGGAGGCAGAGGCAGGCAGATCTCTGTGAGTTCAAGACGAGCCTGGTCTACAAAGTGAGTTTCAGAACAGCCAGGACTGTTACACAAAGAAACCCTGTTTGAAAAACCAAATGTGTGTGTGTGTGTGTGCGTGTGTGTGTGTGTGTGTGTGTGTGTGTGTGTGTGTGTGTGTGTGTAAAACAAATAAATAAATAATACTTACTCTTAACTTTTCATTCAGAAAATTAAAGAGATCTAATTTAATTCAGAAAGTTTTTGACAGTATATATGGTCTCATCCTATTTTCTTAAAAATAAAATCTCTCATGTTAGCATATATGTGTACCAATGTATTTTAAAATCTCTTAAAAGGAAAACTAACATTTTAACCATAACAAATGGTAATTTAGCTTAAGCACAAGAATGCATCTGTCATGGGCTAGATTCTTCCTGCTCTGTTTTCCTATGAATAGTCAGTGTATGATCCATAGTAATGTGTTGAATCTAACAGTGGATGGCAGAATAGTAAAAACTTAATTTTAAAATGTCTGTTTTGGTGTGTGTGTGTGTGTGTGTGTGTGTGTGTGTGTGTGTGTGTGTGTGTGAGAGAGAGAGAGAGAGAGAGAGAGAGAGAGAGAGAGATCTACTTTGGTTGAAATGTGGCTAATGTGACTGAGGAGTTAAATTTTTCATTGTATGTCATTTTTTTTAAATAACGTGTATTTATTGAGGGAGCGCACATGTGGAGATTAGGGAATAACTTAAAAGAGACAGCTTGGTGGCAAGGCCTCCTTATCTGCTGAGCCATTGGTCCTCATAGTATGTAATTTTAATTAACTTTTTTTGTAGTTTAAGAGATGAAACCCAGGGCCTCGCACGTGTAGCACAGGGTTCTTACATGGCTCAACATCTTGGCCCCATTTAAATTCATTTAAATTTAAATAGCCTTTCATGACTAGTTGTCTAGTCTAATGCATAGCTCAGCTGTATCAGAACAATTTCAGGACATTAGGTTGTTCAGATACTGGAGTTTCTGTGACCTTTTAGAGCCATTGATGTCCTAGCAATAATATTAACTGTGTCTTTTCATTTATTCTGAGCAACTGCTTTCTCAGTAGTTTATGATGTTGCCTGAATTGATGACATACTTGTGCATAGAGATAGTTGACATAGGAATTTTTCGGCTATTAGTAGGATGTAAAAAGTACTACAATAAAAGCATATGTAGGTAATGTGGAGGATGCAGAGAAGAAACCATATAACTTTACATAAATCAGAGACTTCTCAAAAAAAAGGCAACTCAATGCTTGCTGCTTGAATTGAAACGTAAAAATGGAAATTTCATATTTTTTGCCTTTGTTTTTGCTGTTTTCTATATGAGCAAGTTTCCTGGGTAACTTGTAAAAAAAAATTTTTACTTGTAAAATATTTTTCTCTTTTTCTTTTTGTTTCACTTTTTTTTCTTTACTTATAAAATATCTGTCATGGTCAAGCCTTCCCCCTGTCTTTCCTTTGCTTTCTATAAGCTCACAATTGGGGCCCAGAGACAGAGCATTCCCTATCCTCTTCCCATGTACTGCCTTAACACATTTTTTTTTCTCCTTCAGTGCTCTGTGAAAAGCTGTATCATTGCCTTCCATGTCACCTGTGCCTTTGAGCATGGCCTAGAAATGAAGACCATCCTAGATGAGGGTGATGAAGTAAAGTTCAAGTCATTTTGCATCAAGCATAGCCAAAACAAGCCGAAAGTTGGGGAGGCTGAGTACCACCACCACAGAGCTGCTGAGCAGAGCCAGGCAAAAAGTGAGAAAACCAGCCTGCGGGCACAGAAGCTTCGTGAACTAGAGGAAGAATTCTATACCTTGGTCCAGGTAGAAGATGTTGCCAAAGAGCTGAGGCTATCTGCGTTAACTGTCGACTTTATCTATAACTACTGGAAACTGAAGCGCAAAAGCAACTTCAACAAGCCATTAATTCCTCCAAAAGAGGAAGAGGAAAATGGCTTGGTACAGCCAAAAGAAGAAAGCATTCATACTCGCATGAGAATGTTTATGCACCTGCGGCAGGACCTAGAGAGGGTAAGGTGACCAGCTCTGACTATTGTCTACATAGAGATAAAAGATACCACTTCCAGTTTTAAAATGATCACCCCATTATATGGCGTGAGCTTCTGTGTCTTTCCTTATCCTCTAAGTTCACTGTGTTTCCAGACATTGGGTTCTTTTTAAATTTTGACTGGTGATTGGAAAGGCCTCATGTATTTGCTCTATGAACTTTGACTTTGAATTTATTATTCTCAGTTGTTTACTTTTTAATTCACTTATTTTACTGACATATTCCTGAGACTGAAGTCTTTTTTCAGAAAAGCACTATCTCAGAGTTTTTCAGACTCAGCACTTGTTGACATCTTGAGCTGCATTAGTTATTTATTGTGGAGTGCTACCCTTTATTGTAAGTGGCAGGATAGGATGTTTAGCAGTGTCAGTGACCTCTGCCCACTAGATGCCAGTCCCCTTACACACTTGGTTCTGACAAACAAATTGTTTCCCAAATTTACTAGGTTCCTACTAGGGGCTAAAATCATCTCTGGTTGACAGCCACTTCACCGGGTAATTTAACTCATGATATATTCATCAGGTAGATTAAGTGCTTTAAGAATTCAAAGAAAAGTTAGATGCTGTGTTTACCCTAGGAAATTTCATAATTGTCGAATTCTAGAAATGAACCAGGCCTGGTGGTACAGATGCCAAGTGCTATCATTCATACTCAGGGATAGAAAGGGAAGACTAAAGTATGATGCCATTATCTTCTCAGTTGGACTGTGTACATAAATATTGATCCTGTTAGATTGTAGACTAGAGAATAGGTTTCAGAGAGAACCTTAGAGCACTTGCTCTTAAAGCAGATTGACATGGGAACCATGTCCCCATGATTGTCATGCTGTAGTAATTCCTTTGATTTGGGTCATGGTCTGTGGCCCTTCACTCCTCACTCCCACAGCCACCAGAATGAACTGAACAATTTCAACTATAAATTTGCTTAATATAACAAACATCTTTATTTGCTGGGGATTGGGCTTGTAGGTCCGAAATCTATGCTACATGATAAGCAGGCGAGAAAAGCTGAAACTGTCACACACCAAAGTACAAGAACAGCTCTTCGGTTTGCAAGTCCAGCTTATCAACCAAGAAGTTACAGAAGGTAACAACCTGTGTGTTAAAACTATCCTAGCAAATATAGAGACTCTGATTATAATTATTTTTACAATTTAGTTTTATATCTATTATGCCACTTAAAAATTGTTTCATTTGTTTCAATCTAATCCTGATAATTATGTGGCCTATTTTACTGTTGACTTACAAGGTGGGAAATTAATTCCTGGGTAAAAACCCCCCTCCTGGAAAATTAAAAATTAAAGGAAGGAAAAGAAATTTGAGGATAGGATTAGAGGAGTTGCAAGTCTAAGGCAGATAATCTAGTAATTACAGCCATGAAAGTGTTTTGTAATTATCAAATTCACTTAAAGTCAAGAAGCTAGCACCAAATCCTTGTTTCCAGAGACCATTTAATTCCAGGGTTACTCATCTTAAAGGTCGTCTGTTAAAACAGATCCTCAGACAGAAGTTAAAAGAGGTCTATTTCTAAAGTTTTCATTTATTCACTAATATTTATTCAGAACCTACTAGGGCAGTGGTTCTCAATCTGTGGGTCATGACCCCTTGGGTTGAATGACCTTTACGCAGGGGTCACCTAAGACCATTGGAAAATGCAGATACTTACATTGCAATTCTTAACAGTAGCAAAATTACAGTTGTGAAGTAACAACAAAATAATTTTATGGTTGGGGAACCATTAAACCTGAAGAACTGTATTAAAGGGTTGCAGATTAGGAAGGTTGAAAACCACTGTACTAGGAACTAAGAACTAAACTAGAAGATAGAGCAATCAACAGAGAAATCCATGCTTTACCCACTTGATGAGAGAGATAGGTAATGATAATTACAGTACCTAAAGTGGAAGCTTGGCTAGAATTATGACAGTCATATACAGTGACACTTCCCTATGTTTCTTTTAATACAGAAATAGGTGGGAGAACCTGATCATCACTAAGGGTAACTTGGGCAAAATATATAGAATCAACACCTGCTAAAAGCCAACCATAAAATAAGATAAACACATAGAAACAAGATGTCAGGTAGGCATCAAAAGCTTCTAGGGTATTTGTGACTACATCACAGCAGGAAGTAGCAGGGATACTCAGGCACAAGGTTACCTTGTAACATGACTGTCAAAGCAATAAGAAGCAAAAGACAACAGGGAGGACCCCCTGTGTGCTGACAAGATTAGACTCAGCCAAGTGGCTTCTGATTATAAGAATATGGCTTACAGCATCAACAGATGGCAAAATCCCTAGCAGAGATGGAGGCTGTAGTTGTTCAAAATAAACCCTTGGGGAATGCACGCTACCCTTTAGGGTACTTACAAGCCATCCTCTTCTATATCTCATTTTTATGAAACTACGTATTGTAAGACTATAATGGGCAAAGTCCAGTTGTAGGGTGATATATCCAGGTAATTAATACTTCCCTGAATAATCCTATATTGTTGTGATTCTTTCTTTCTGTCCCTTACCACTATCAAACCTCCCCCAGGGCCAGCAAGATGGCTCAGAAGGTAACAGCATTTGCTTCAAAAGCCTGGTGACCTGAGTTTGATCCTTAGAACCCATGTAAAGATGGAGAGAACTGACTCCATAACATCATCTACCTCCACATGCATGCTATTGCATATGTGCCCATAGCATGGGTCCAGTAATATTTTTTAATGATTCCACATCCCATAATGATAATTTGTAATCAGGATATTACAGACTAAGGGCATACAATATTCAGGAACCACCCACCACTTCTAATGCCGAGTTAAAATACCTATGTACCTTTCCCCTACCAAATCCTGTAATGTGTTTCTGCAGTTTTCTGTTTGACTTGTTTGGGAATGCCTGGAGAGGATGGGGGATAAAATCTGGAATGTCTTGTATTTGAGGTACATCTTCAATCCTGCTTATTATCTGTATGCCCAATCATAAACACACAAAGAACTCATTCCAAAACACTGTGAGTGACATTCTTTATAGCAATGAAAGGCAAGGAGAAGTCTAGGGGAAGAGCTCTGTTAGTGAGTCCAATTCCCAGCACTCAGATAAAAAGCCTGTGTGGTGCACACCCTTGTGATGTGAATCCAGTACTAGTTATGTGAAAACAGGAAGATCCCAGGAATTTGCTAGTCTAACCAACTGATAAACTCTAGGTTCAGTGAAAAGCCCTGTCTCAAAAAATAGAGTAGAGGGTGATTGAAGAAAACATCTAGCATCGACCTCTGGTCTCTATATGCATGCACACATGTGCATTTGCCCCCACACATACACAAAGAAAGAAAGGCATGGAGATAGAGACATAAGACAGAGCACACTAGTTGTTGCTATTGTTTTATAGTTAGGAAAGCAAAGGTGTAAAGGTTGAGAGCCATGGATAGTGCTTTCTGTGGGACTCTGGGTTCATCCTGTACTGTAGTTCACTCCTTCTGCTCACCGTAGTATACATGCTCATCAAAGACAGGTGCTCATTAGACATTTGGAACAATAAATTCATGAACTCACTTTGTGATGCACATATGCTAATAATTAAATCAGTTGTTAAACAAATCTTTCTTTCTGATTTCAGGACTTTCTTTGACAAATGCACTAGAGAACTCATTGTTTTACCCACCACCACGAATTACCTTAAAGTTGAAAATGCCTAAATCAACCTCAGAAGACTGCAGAGACAGCTCCACAGAAACCGAGAACCAACCTTCCTCTCCTGGCAGCAGCTCCCCTGGTCACAATAAAAGGAGCCCACAGATGCTTGAGGAGCCACTGGACACGAATGTGAAAATATATCCAAGACATCCACTAGAAATCAAGAGTAACTGTTTGCTGGCTAGCCACAGCCATTCTCGAAGTGAAGCCAAGAGTTCCAGTCCTGCTCAGAGAACTCCATCTGCAGAGTTCTATCATGGGCAATCATTAGGGAAGCCTCTGGCCCTTCAGGCTGCCCTCCATGGACAGGCTTCTATTGGTAATGGGAAGAGTCAGCCTAACTCCAGGCTTGCCAGTTCCAATGGCCTGGAGGGCAACTGGTCTGGGAACATCACCCAGAAAGATAATTCAGATGAGATGTTCTGTGACCAGGAGTCCATGCTCAGTTCCCACTTGCCCAGTCAGGGTAACATTAGAAAATCTGGCATAGAACACTTCAGCAGGTCTTTTAAGGAAGCCACCAATACATGGGTGAGGCCCACTGAGGACCTCCAGTATTGTGTTAAGCCAACTAAGAATGTGAGCTCTAAGGAGCAGTTGTGGGGTAGACAGCTGCTCAGGCGGTCTACAGGAAGAGCTCCATATCAGGAAACCGATGGGTATTGCCCTGATTTAGAGCCCAGCGATTCAGAAGCGGAAGGGGAAGGGAATAAAGAAACAGCAAGGGTAAAGAGAGAAAGTTCTGACAGAGAAAATCCTTCTCATGAGTCTGCTCGGGAGTGCCATGGGAAAAGTAAGACACATCCTCATTCCCATAGCTCAATGCAAAGGTGATCAGAAACACCTAAGGGTAACGCAGCCGTTGCCTTTGCCCCACATACTAGGGGAAATCTAAACACCAAAAGGATTCTAGTGTATTAGGAGGAATTGCAGGGAAAATGATGGTTTGACGTTTTTTGAAAAGGTTTCAGGTCTAGTTTTTATAAGCACATTACAAGAGTTGCAGATTGTCTGGGGTTGCTTTGTTGGAGGCTGCTGGGAATAGTTGGGCCCAGAGTATTTGCTCAGTAAGTACTTCGGGGCTGCTTTTTGGTTACATTAAAACACTGATTAATCTACGTATTAAGAATCCTTGCATTGTTGATGGATTTGCAAAAGAACATGACAGACACTAAAACTACTTATCTTTTGAAACTATAACATGTGACTCCTTAGCGCTCATGTTTATAGAAAAATTCTAATTCCACTGGTATCTATAAAACCTCTTCAAGGGAGAGACCAGGAGAGCAGCATTCTCAGATACTGTCACTTACTATTGTCTTCCTTGCTTCATGCAAGGTTGAGTTTCTTTCACAGTATCGTATCACATAAAGTCAATTCTCCTAAGTGTCCAGTGCCTGTTCCTAGACCTGCTTGCTGGGAACACACTCATAACTCTCTTATCCAGCTAACAAGCTAACTTGTGGATAGTGTTTACAAAAGTACAGAAGTACTACTTCCAAGGAAAATGCTCTGCTTCTCAAGGCATTTGTGAAGACCTCCAGAGCCTTTCCCAAAGTGTGACCTTTTCTGGGATATTTGTGCCAGGTCAGGGTTTTTTTGTGTTGTTTTCAAATAAGTTTGAAGTTTGGCTGACAGTTTTTGTATACCTGCTTTAATGTTTATAAAATTTTTATTGAGGTATAATTAAAATATAGTGTAATGCACAGAGGGTTAAGTATTCTTACCTGCTTTAATTTTGAAACAGATTTTTATTGTCAGACAAATTTGAAAGCATGTGTTTTAACACATGGATATAATTTAGCTTTGTATGAATTTTGAAACCAAGGCAATTTCCCAAGCATAAAAGTTGGAGCCATTTTTCAGAACTTGCTTATACCACATTACCAAATAATCAGCCTTGATTCATTTCTAGAGGAAGAGAATTTTGAAGCAGAGGATGAAACAGGTTTGCTTCCCATTTAAGAAAAAGGGGGAAGTAGCAGTTTGTAAAAATGTGAGGCAGACTGTAATTCTCAGCTCCCTTTTCTTCTTAGCCTTAAAATAATATTCTCTTTCTTCTAGTTTGGGAACATATAGAGAGATTTTTCAAACAAGAGGCCATTTTCAATTTCTTAAGTTTAATGCTGGTGAAAGAAGCCAGCTGCAGTAGGTGCCAGTGAGAGGGCAATAGCCCTCTAGCCAATGCTGTGGAGCAGTTTGCCTCTCTCCCACTTTCGTTCATAGAACCTCGTTAAAGGCTTCTTTGGGGTTTTGTTTTCTCCTTTTTTTTTTTTTTTTGAAAACTTTTATATTTTGCCTCTCCTTTGGCTGCATCTTCAAAATGTTTCTTTTGTGCCTATGAACATGTGTGAACATAATATAACGTGTAGTAGGTGTCCTGTATTTTGTTTTAGTTGAAAAATGAGGAAGAGAATTTCCTCTTAATACCCTCAGCCTCTGCTTATTTGAATACTCATAGGTACATACAAATTTGACACTTTCATGGTAATGAGAGTATAATGGAGGTGAGTGGTAAGTTCCTTACATTAAAGGCCAGTCAATTGCCTGTGTCCTTTCATGCCTTTGAATTCTGAGTATGGGGGATGGGGGGAAGCAAACATGAAAACAGTGCTTTAGCCAAATTCCATATGTAATGCCATTGGGAGAGTATTGCCTGAAATATCATTCAAGTCAGGGAGATAAAATGGTAATATTTTTACAGAATATTCCTGGGTAAACAAATGAGCCTTCAGTTTGTATACATTCCAAATGCCCCAAACTGCATCTGCAACATTTTGTTCTTTGAAGTATTACCTCTTAACCTTTGTTAATGTTTTTCCGTCTTGTCTTATATAATTCAAGTTTTGAAGATAAAATCAATCTTTTTTCAAATGTCACCTTTTTATCAATACTTTTTCATTAAATTATGAAAACTGTTAACTATTGTCAGTGTGGTAATTTTCTGTTTTGGCATACTGATTTTTTAAAATCTATGAATTTACTTATGTTAGAAGAGAGGTTCAGGGATGAAAAATTGAATGTTTAGAAGCACAAACCATCTGGGTATGGTGACACACACCTAGAATCCCAGCATTGAAGGCTGAGGCATGAAGATAATAACTTCTAGGACATCCTGGGATACATATCTAGACCCTGTCAAGAAAAAGCACAAATTCACAATTCAGGTCAATACCAGAAGTCAAAGAGAACCCTTTGTACTTTGCCCAGAAACCATGATTTCATCAGGCTAGTAAGATAAAGACCTTAGGATCATCATTTAAAATGGCCAGGGACATAGATCCTATTTAAAGTGACAGGATACACAAAGCTATTTTTTATAATACTCATTATATAATGCAGTGCTCTGGGAGTCTGTCATGTAATCAGGGTTATATGGTCTCACGGCAGGACTTTGAAAGGGTAAATATTTTCAGGTTGTCAAAGGTCATTGAATAAATCAGTAGTGAAACATAAAAGTGATTGTTTCTGCCTCTACCTACCTCACTTGTTAATAGTTGACTGCTCTGATACTTCATTCTGAAGATTTTAAACTACTAAGTATATCCTGTTACAGCCAACAAAGGGTTTATAAGAATGTGTACATTTCTAGTGGGAGGTGAACTTTTGTATTGAAAAAATGTTTAAATGTAGAGAGCAAGCCAGATAATGCACAGTCTCAGGGGGTTTTTTTCCCCTGCAAGATCAAAATCCTCAATGTTTGCTTGTTTATTTGTTTTTTTTTGTTTTGTTTTTCTGTTTTGCAGTGCTGAGAATGGAAACCAGGACTTTGATTATGCTAGGTAAGCACTCTCCCACTGAGCTGCAAAGCCCGTTACTGGCTTTAAGAACTGAAGAAAAGTACACAACAGCAAAAGTATATTCAGCACCCATTAACTCATGTGGTATTATTTCAAAAACTGTATTATATAACATTTGGTTTCTCAGTTTGACTGTTTTGTAGAAAACAGCAGTTATGTGATAATGGCTTTAAAGGAAGGTTTAGTTAATAAATCCCACCTTGGGGCTGGCCCTCTATGCAGCCAACTTTCTAACACTCAACTTAGCACTGTTAAAGGAGGCTTCTAGGAGTTCAGTTGATTTTACTTCATAAAATAGAAGAGATTATATGATCTAAAGACTTTTGTCTTTGCAATGAAATGGGCAATTCCACAACCCATTGTGTCTAGTCACTGGTGAATTCCTCCACTTTATACTTCCAAATACATTTATCATCTTGTTGAGGTGGATTGGGGTGTGAGCATTTTGCAAGGCCTGACTACCAGGCTCCAAACATCCTTTTCCTCCCTTCACTATTCCTTCAATTCCCTTCTGTTTCAGTTAGGATAAGTAAGTGGCAAGTAGCTTAGAAATAATCTGGAAAGATGAACCTTGAGCAGCACAGGCTGTGACCACAACCAGAGGCTAGAACTGAGAGAACATCTTCAGAACCACCTTTTGCTGAGTTATGGGAAGTATTGCGCTGTAATAGAGCTGCTTTCCTGAAGCACATGTGAAAACCATGGGTTGCTTTAGTCATTTCTCACCTTAAACTCTTAAAAACTTGAAATTTAGAAAATTAAAATTACACAGAAGTAATGCCACCACTAAAAAAAAATACAATAAAATAAATGGCCACAGCTGGACAGTACCTATTCTAGATCATTCAGCTTCATGGGGGCATGGGTGTCAAATGCTTCTTCCTACTTTGATAAGCCTGGCCTGTGCCGTGTGATCCTTGCTTTTTTTTCCACCAAGCTTTTCTTCTTCCTACTTTAGAAAACAGAAACTCTAGTTAAAATTCTTCCCCATTTCTCTGTCTCTGCAAACAGGGTCTACAGGGGTAAAAACAATGAGAGTGTTCACAAGGCTGCTATTGGCTGAGTCAATAACTGTGGCCACTCAGCCTTTTCGGTTATATTTGCTAACTGAATAGTAGTAATGGAGCAATGAGGAACAGGCCTGCCTGCATCTCAGAGAATTTGTCCCAGTGTCTTGCCCTCAAGATCCCCCAAATGGACAGAACTATTTGGGCAAAGAATAGAGTAAATAAAGATTACTTTCAAGATAGTTACTTGGGTTCCTTATAGAACAACCAAGGACAAACCAGGAACCCCACTTGGGACCAGTTAAGCCTCTAAATAATAAAACACTGCTATGTCAGGCCTATACACAACTACAGGAAGATGAGACTTGGCTCCATTTGGCACATATGAAAATAGGCCAAATGGTTAAGACTTGTTCAAGGCCCTACAGGTAAGTATACAGCAGCATCAAGATGGAAGCCAGTACAATCGTGCTTGATTCTTGTATGCAGGGTACCTTCTCCAAGAATTCCTACTTATTTTCTCCCTGAAGAAATCAACCTTTGTTGAGGATTAGTCATAGATTTAATGCCACTTGATCCTTGCCATCTTGGATAGAACTGATGAATCAAAATTAATCATCTTAGGGGCTGGAGAGATGGTTCAGTGGTAAGAGCACTTGTTGCTATTGCAGGGGACCCAGTTTCAGTTCCCAGTACCTATATGGTGGCTCACAACCATCCAGGGCTCCAGTTCCAGGGGCTCCAACACATTCTTCTGGCCTCCATGGTGCCAGGCATGCACATAGTGCAGATACATACATGCAGATAGAACATGCATACACATAAAATAAATCTTTAAAAAATTAGACATCTTATACAAAAGCAAAAAAAAAAAACTTGTATTCAAAGAACAGGATGATTCACACAAATCTTGGCAGGGTAAGCCCCACATCAGATCTAGGACCTGGAGATCTTACTTTCTGCCTAACTAGTCAATCGTCCAACTGGCTATAGAAATTAAACCATGGATCTCCAAATACACCCACACCCTAATCCCCAGAACCTACTATGTTATTTGAATGGTTAAGGGGGCCTTCCAAATGTAATTAAAGTTAAGATACTTGAAATATCTGGAACTCATTTTTTTATGTGGCTCTTAATTGTCTGGGTCTAGGGGCAGCACATCCTCTGGTGGGTTTCCCAGGGCCTGCTTCCCCCAGTCTAGTCCTCTGATGAGTTTCCCAGGGCTTAGGCTGGAGGGGCAACACATCCTCTGGTGGGTTTCCCAGGGCCTGCTGCCCCCAGTCTGACCCTTCTCTAAGATGGCTGCAAACCTGTCATCCTCTCATTTCCCCCTCTAGAAGTAACTCAGGAAGATATTTCCTGCCATAACCTAAAAGATATGATAGATTATATACCATAGTCAGAGGGAGCAAATTTCCTGCAGGTAAGAAATGGCATGTCTTATTGTCAGAAAAAAATGGGTCTGATGATGATATAGATTGCTAGAGGAAATGGCAATTTCCTTGCAGCTGGAACTCCCCAATCAGTTCAAACCAAACATTTCTAACCTAAAGTAAGCACCAATCCTGAGCTTGTAACTATATAGAGTTGGAATTCCCCTAGATCCCCTACCCTAACCATTATAAAAAACCTTGCTTGATTGCTACTCAGGGTCTCTCATGCTCAGCAGCTGCATTGGGTTAACTCGTAAATAAAGACTCTTTGCTTTTGAATAGAATCTTTGAAATAGGGAGATTATCTCGTATTATTAACCAGGCTCATCCAATATCATCACAGGGGTACTTTATACAAAGTAGGAAAGTAGAAGGATGAAAGTTCCTAGCCGGATATGTGACAATGGAAGAGCCATGATCCAATGGCCTCCAGAAAGTACAAAGGGCCAGATAACATATTCTCCTTAGAAGTTTCCAGAAGAAACTCAGCCTTCCCCCACACTGTGATTTTAGACTTTGGAAGAATAAGAATAGGCACTGAATTTGTGACAATTTGTTACATCAGAAGTAGGAAACTAATACATTGAGCATAGAGTATGTGCTCCCCAGCCTTTCAGAGAGGTGCTCCTCATCCCCAACAGAGCTGTCTGGACTGGAATACCCTCAAGTTGGCCCTGTACTTTCACTTTGGTTTTGCAGTACTAGGGAATGGACCTAGGGCCTTGTGCATGATAGGGAAGTGCTCTCTACCATTGGGCTACATATCAGCCCTTTTGCTCTTAACTGAAACACTTCCTTGAAATGGAAAACACATGAATTTTTTTTCTATCAGTAAAATCTATAGAAATATAGTTTTCTCATTTCTGCCTTCCCAACTTTTTCTGGTGTAGCCCTCAGTACTTCTCAAATATCCTTGAGTAATCATCCACAGACGTACTTATGACCAGCGTGGCACTGCTTGTTGGGTTAGCGTAAGTTTGTATATCCATGCTGTCTGAAGCAGTGTCCTTGGAAAGTATAAATAAATCCTTGAGTGTTCATCCAGATGGGAGAGGATAGAAGATAGTACTAGCTCATTGTGAGGAATGATGCTCTAGTTAGCAAAGCCTCCTCCAAAAAAGAGAGTGACCCAAGAGGGAGTTCCTGGAGAGCCCAAATACCTGATCAGAGCTTGGGAATCAAATAACACGACTCTATGATGCCTATAAAAAAACTTAAAATGTAAAGAAAAATAGGTTAAAAACCAAGAGAATAGAGGTTGGATCTATGACACACCAGTGCAATCCCAGCACTCAGGATGCTAAACCAACCATCTTGGAAGCCAGCCTGAGATGTACAGTAAAACCCTAGGTTTTAAAAAAGAATAAAAGGATAGAAAGGATATACCAAAAGACGACTTGAATCACTGTATGAATAGCCTACAAAGATAGATTCATCAAGAGAACATAAACAATCCTAAATGTTTATATACCTTGTCACAGCTATAAACTACAATAAACTGGGTTGGTGAGATGGCTTAGCAGGTAAAAATGCTGCACAAGCCTGATGACCAAATTTTGACTCCTAGAACTAGAGTAAAGGTGAAAAGAGAATTGACTCCACAAAGTTGTCCTTTGACTACACATATGCACTGTGGCATGTTCTCTCTCTCTCTCTCTCTCTCTCTCTCTCTCTCTCTC